TACCTGCTACGCTTTCAGGTATCCCTAACACATCCTTAGATTTTATCTGGACTAAAACTCAGCTCTTGGATGCAAACAGTGCTAGGAAGCCTAAAAGTAGAAAGCTTAAATACTTCACTTGAAATAACACCTAAAACACAGAAACCTTCCTCATCTCGGAATGACTGAGGAAGGAAAAACACGAGCAACAGGTCAGCGCATTAGGCAGCTCCTTCACTTATAGAGGTGCTGTGTTCTCTTAGGTGGAAGCCACTCAAGGTCACTGGGATGACTAGGAAAAATAAACATTTTAGAGCAGAAAGAAGATTTCACTGCATTTTCTGCAGGTTTAAGGGGAGTACAACCCACTCCGCCGCTCTCACTTGAGTTGCCAACCTTGCCCATCAGTTGCCTGGGCATTTCAGGATCAAGACAGCACATGGTTTGACAGCGAGTCTGTGTCATGCTTGCTGTCACCGAGGCCTGTAGCAGCTTTCCCATGCCAGGAGCTAGCAGAACTCACTGTCAAAGGTTGGTTTTTAAAAGGATATAAGAACTAAGCTGGCCTGTGAAAACTTGGCATTCTCTTGTGCTCCTGGTCTCTCCATGCCACATCACTCCAGGCTCAAAAAGAAGGGACAAGAGGAGCCAGGTATCATCAGCAGCCTGATGATGGGACACGATCCAAGGGGATATGAGATGAGGGGAGCTAAAGAAGCAAAGCAGAGACTTGTCCTTGAGAACTGCTACCTCTCTTAGTCCTGCAGAACCATCTCTACTTGTTCAGTTGTTAATCCTTCGCTTTCTATCTCATTAACTAGGAATTGTGATCCCTATAAGCAGGGCTGAGGTCTAAATCCCCCTCTATTTTAATCCATAATAACGCAGCAAGGTTTCTTTCAGCTCTAGATTAAAAGACTGTTTAGCATAACAACAACTTCGAGCAAGTTCAGGGTGAGCTGGGGCTCCAGAATTATGCAACAACTATCCTAGACAGCAAAGGTGAAGAATGAAGTTATGACCTGCTTCAGCCAAAAAAAAGGAGACAGCAGAAGTTGTCCAACAACAAGAAAAATAAAGAAAATACATTTGGAAGGAGTTACCCACGAGGCACGGAGAGCTGGACTCTCCGATGAGATTTGCTAGAGCCTTTCAAAAGCTGTAACTCAATATGGTTTTTGGTTTGGGGCTGTCTGATGGGTGATGAGGGAATGTTTTTGATAAGGGCAAACTAAAATGAAGCACCAAAGACCCAGAGGGGAGGTAAAAAGTTTGCATGTGCTACTTTCTACAGAGAAGAAATTCAGCATTTCCTTTAAAAGTCTCACAGCTGGACAGCTGCAGAACTATCCAGAGAATCTGGCTGTCTAATTTCCCCTGATTTCTTTAATAGTCTTAAGTAAAGACCTTTTATCTGCATCTCCTCCTTCACCGAGTCCTGGGTAACCGGCACAGGCCTCGCTCTACCCTTCGTTTCTACAAATACCGAGCCTTAGCAAGAGGGTCTTTTATTGCAGCACGTGGTAAGTCCCCCCTTTCTCGTAGGTGACTTAAAGGTTAAGGACCCGCTGGGACACACGGCCCAAGTTCTGGCAGGGCCCTTGGGATCACCGGATAACTCGAGCGGCAAGTCTTCTCCCAAGGACACCACTTTCTAGGTCACCAGACCAGGCCCAAACAGAGCAGTGGAAGTAAAAAAATCTATCAGTGGAAAGAGCCAGGCTCCTTTAAAAGGACATATTGTCATTTCCCCTCAGTCTGTGGGTGACTCTCCAATAAAAGTCCCTTCTCCTCCCACCTATGCACGTTGTCCCTTGGGAATTTGCATCTTCTGCTCAAGGCGATGCCACCACTCCAGTATTTACCCGATCCAACCCATATTCAAATGCGGCACCTTCTGCAGTCACAAGACACAAGCGGCACCCAAAGGCCCATCCATGGCCCTTGGAGCCTCCCGAGGAAGAGGAGTCCTGCTAAGCAGGATCCAACTGTACCAAGGTCTTCCCAGAGGGACCTTGGCCCCATCAGCAACTTCCTTGTGAGTTCTCAGACAGGAACACAGATACGAAGGATTAGATCTCATCTCTTGCTACTGTGAGTAAAGATACTCGACTGTTTTTGACGCCTGGGCACTGCAGAGAGCCTTTCTGGTGGCACCCTGCCAGCGTTAGCACTGAATGTACAAAAGACCCATAGAAGGCGTGAAGACAATTAGATCACAGCTAGGCAAGTAATTCGTTGTGAATTAATATCGTTTGAGAGCTTGGGATATTTTCCATTTAATCATTAGCCAGGAGAAGAGATGATTGGATTGAGTGACTTAGTTTAAATCAGATTCCTTGGCTGTGGATAGGGAAAGTGGGGAAACATTGCAGCTTCCAGAGGCCCCCACTGAGATCCCATGAGGATGACTCCAGATCTTGGTGGTTACAACACTCAGCACCCAATATTCTGTTCCACCTCAAAGGAAAGAGCCCTGGGCCCCTCTAAATAAAGTCAAATTTTAAATAAGAACTTGAGCCCATCCTCAGTGAGCTGGGATGATTCCCATGCATTATTTATGCTGCGCTCATGTTACGGCTACACAAAAACAGGGAAGTCGGCAAGGGCCCCAGTCCTTAAACGGAAGGATGGGGATGCTCAATTGGAGCAGTTGTCCTCCAAGGTGGCCTCTGCAAAGGAGAAGTTTGCCGGGAACAAAGCAGTCCTGCTGACAACGGATTCAGCCGCCTGCCAAAGGGCAGACATTTTAGAGACACAATCGACAATAACGGAGCTGATGTCTCAGCAAAAGTCACTCGATTCTTGCTTTTGTGCTGAGCATCTGATAGGAGTTAACCAGAAACACCAGCAGCCCCTCAGTATCCATCTTAAAGCAGCCGGGCGTTTGGGCGGCATCTCAGCATTCCCGTTTTTCCGCAACGTGCACATCCCCCTGCCCCCTTGCACTGCCGCGGCCTCCAAAGGAGGGATCACCGGCCTCCAAAGGAGGGATCACCATTTGACTTTCACTGACGCCCAGGAGCCGGCGACTGCTCCCAGGAGCCGACCTTGAGAAAAAGCAGCTCAAAAACACAACACTCAAAGGGAAGAGGAAAACCCCCACCACAAGACAAGCCCCACATCCCTTCCCAGGCTCCGAAGGGGCAGGATTTTCTGGGAACACCCCTGGCGCCCGTGGATGGGACGCAGCCTCCTTCCCGGCACGGATGCCTCACCAGGGCCCCGTCCCTGCGCCCTGTTCTCCAAGGAGTAGCTCGGGCCATGCAGGGGGATTTTGCAGGCTCGGGGGATTTTGCAGGGTGCTCCAACCAAGCGGGGCCTCTTTCCAGGCCCACCGGGCGCAGATGCTTCTGCGGCCTCTGCAGCCGGGTCCCCAGCGCGGCGCGGAGCCAGGGAGCAGACGGAGCATCCGCACGGCCACGGGCACGAGTGATTCAGCACTTTCCCCGCCTCCAGCAGCCTGATCGAGAGCGGCTCGCGTGTTAAAATAAAACCCCGAGGCCCTGAGCAGCCCCTCCGGCTCGGCCGGGCTCGGGGGGGGGTGCAGCCGCCGGGACGCCGGGGCCCCGGGGCCACCGAGTGCCGTGCGCGGAGCCTCCGAGGCTGCCGGCCCCGCACGCGGAACGCGGGGCCGTGACGTCAGGGCCCGATCCCCCGCGCCGCTACGAGCCCGGGACCCCTCCGGGGACCCCCCCAACACCTCCGGGTCGCCCCGGCCACCGGCGGCTCCCCGCTTACCTGCGCCCGGCTCGCCGCAGCCTGCGCTCCGTGCGCCGCACTGCGCGTCCCCGCCCGCCTGCGCGCGCCCGCTGCGCGTCCCCGCCCGCGCTGCGCGCGCCCGGCTGGGGAGGAGGGAGGGAGCGCGCGCGGCGGCGGGGGGAGGAGGAAGAAGAGGAGGGTCCGGGAGCGCCGCGCCGCTGATTGCAGGGGAGGGATTAATTAGCGGCGCCCTCATTAGCGGCGGCCGCAGCCCCCAAGGCAGCGCGAGGCTGAGCTGGGGGCGCCCCTGGGTGCCCATCGTGGGGATTCTCTTGCCCGGCCCGAGCAAGGAGCATCGCGGCTCGAGGTGGGGGACAGCGGCAGGGCTACCTGCACCCCAGCCCGTGCCCCTTTGCTTCACAGCCCAGACCTCTCTTCGGCAACGTGGGGATCAGAAATCACTTTAATTAAAGCCACCTCCATGCGGGAATCATGCAGCGAGTTTGCTGCTCCTCCCCACCCCACATGTTTTATTACATTACTGATATTCTGCTGAGTTTGCAGAATTTTAACTAATATAGACACGTTCTCTAGCAGCAACACGCTGATCCTTATCAATCCAGCAGTTTTCTAAGCAACATGCATCAAACTACACATTGTCTATCCTCACCCTGTAAGGATTGATCCCCGAAAGTGCTGAGTACCCTCCTTGAGCTCCTGAGATGCCTTCACATGCACTGCTCCATGAAAGTTAATTAGGAATTTACATACCCCAGAGTTAAACGTGTCCTGCCAGGTCTCCAGGACCTCCCAAGGAAAGTGCCTTCCTCAGGGGACCTGGAAATGGAGCCACAGAAACTCTACTGCTGACACAGAGCAGGAGATGCCCTTATGGAGAAGGGCTCCAGAGAGCAGGTGCTGCGTGGGAACCCTGCCCCAGCTGGTACAAATGAAGGGAGATAAATCAATTAAGGGTAATTGAGACAAGGCAGGACCCAGTGCAGAGCAGGGCTCCCACCACCTGCTTCCAGCTGCCAGGAAATTGGTGATTCCAGAGTAAAAAGCCAAACCAGGCACTGGAGCAAAGAAGGATCAGAACAACTAAAGTGCAGGGAACTGAGCTCCTAAAGCTGGGGACCTTTGGCTACCAATGTCACCAGGGCACCAGCTGCCTCCCTGACTCCAAAACCACTCAGAACCTTTGGAAACATTAAACTCGATCAGGTTTTCTGCAGGGACCCCGTAGTATGGCTATATTTAGGACAGCAACATGGAAAGTCATTCTTCAAGAGCTCCCTCTTAAAGAGGACTGAGAGCTCTTCTAAGACACTCATTACCTTCAGCTCCAGAGGGATCCGAGCACATGCTGCCCTTCATAAGGGCTGCTTTGCAAAAGTCATTTCTCCTCTTTGTTCCTACAGTTTGTCTCTTCTCTCCTGTTAATGTTGTTGGCTGCAAAAGAGCCCACAAAGCAGTGCAGGAGCAGAAATATCCTTCAGAATTCTCCTTGCAGCAAAATCCCAGTTGGAGGGGAAAAAATTGTTTACTTTGATCATACAAATATTGGTTTGCAACATGCAGCATTGATCTCTTGGTGCATCTGATTGCAAATTCATTTACTCTCTGGAGAAAGTGTTAATAGCTTGAGATGAGGATGAAAACGTGCAATGCACCCTGTGCCTTTGAGATATATTTGTGATATTAACCATGAAAAGCAGCATGAGGGGAATCCCAGGTGCTCAGGATTTCCCAGGAAGCATCCAGCTGGACCAGAAGAGCATCCCATGCCAACGGGAAGACTCATATGTGCATTGGATCTGGAGCCAAGTCTCTCTTGCAGGGCAGAGTCCAGTCTGGAACGACCCCCACCAACAACATGTGTTCCTTCCTCGACTCCGGATCCGCTCTGGATCCATCCATCCTCAGAGAGATCATAGAGGGTCTCTTGCTTTGCCTTCTCCCTAGGGATCTGCTGCAATCCAATTAGTGCAGTTAACGAGGGGACGGACAGCGAGGGGAAGTCAGATGAGTTCCTCTCCTCCAAAGCACCTCCTCAAAGGAAATATTGATTGCCCTTAAAGCAGCTGTGCTGGTGAAGACAGATTCCTGGGCGCCCTGCAAGGACACCCAAGCCATGCAGGAAAAATGAGCCATGGAGGCACATGCCAGGCAGCCTGTTTTAACAGAGCAGAGGCTCCTCTTGTCCCCAGGGCATCATTTCCCAGGCAAGGGGCACCCAACAGGAGCGCTTGGACCTTCTCTGAGGGTCATCAGACCCCTGTGACTGCAGAAAGACCGAGAGACCCTCGTCACCCCCCGGCCACCGCCGAGGCCGGTGGCCTCCCCTTAGGCCAGTGCCAGAGCTCAGCTCTTGGGGCTACCAGGGCCACCCTGGCACCGCGGTCCCTTATGCGGTGCTGCCATCTACTGCCACCGGCGAGGCGGTGCCTTCGTGCTTAGAGCCGTTATTTTTAACACGTTTTTAATCTTACCCTGTCTTTGAGGGGCTTCAGGACACCACAGCTTGCAGCTGAAGACCGGGCCTAAAGAAGAAAAGGAGTTTAGTGCAATCTCAGCTTCTGTGTGTCACCAAATGACCCTGTTTGGGCCAAACGAGTATCAGCATGAAGCCCCGGGCTTCAGACAAACCCTGAGCATCAACCGTGCGGGTTTCAAGACCATGGATACAAGAGTCCAGGCAGTTTTTCCAGCGGCATCCAAGGAGGATGAAGACCTCTTGGCTTCCTTTCCATTCCAGGGACATCATCTGTCCAGGACAGGCACGTACAGCAGGACAGGTCCACACTGCCTCTAAGCACCCACCACCACGGGCCCTCTCCCACTGCTCAGTTTTGCCTGTGGAAACGGGTGAAAAATCCAAGATATTTTCAGGGGCAGCTGCATTCACTCCCTCAGCTCCACAGGGTCCCAAATAGGGGGTTGAGGGGAGGAATGCCACCAAAGCAGCTTCTTAACCTATTTCTCTCCCTTTTCTTCTCAGCAGCTTCACTCCTCTGAGCAGTCCTGCTAGCAGGGGCAGCACTAAGTGCCTCCCTTTACTCCTTTATTGCCAGGGGCTCAGCAGCTTGCTCAGCTAGAAGAGATTAGGGCAACTTGCCCATTTTCATATCGCCTCAATTCCTAATGCAAATCAGCTGCTCATTATGCAAAGTGAAAGGAAAAGCAGTAATGTTGCCCTGCCATAAAGCGCAAGACTTCCAGCATTCTCCAGATAGCAGATTTAGGAGGTTAGGCTCAAAAAAAAAACAAACAAACAAAAAAAAAAAAACTTTCTACCTGATGTAGCTTTTGTAGTAGCTATTTCTTCTATTGCTTCATATAAGTAATAATATAAACTACTTTTGCTTGCTCCATTTGAGCATTATTATTATCATTGGTATAGAGCACACGCAAAAGTGCCTTGCCTCAGCTCTGCTTGCTGGGAATTAGAAAACTCAGCTTGGGAGCCCCTCACCAGGTTGTAAGGAGCTCCATGAACCTGCTCCACATGCTGCACCACTAGATTGCAGCAAAACACCAATTTCTGCTGCCAGTGCATTTGCTGGATAGCAGAAAGACAAGACGGGATGGTTTGCAGCTCTGAAGTGTCTTGCAGCCATCCAAGCAGAGACCCAGGTGAGAAATCCTGCACCAAACAAGCTGCACCTAAGGAAATTCATGTCTAGGATAGAAAAGAATCATTCTTAAGCCCTGAATCTGTAAGAATCTGCAGGAAATAAAACCAATGTGTCCAAGTGTGATGGAAAGCCAGTGTGCTAAGGGAGGAACTAAGGTGCTTGCTTTCACATGCTGCTCTTTGCTGCATGCGCCTTGCAGGAATATCTGACTTGTCATTCCTGTTGGCCTCCAAGCAACGGAGTTTGCACAAACATTTACTTGGCAAACTTGAAACGTGTCTGTGAATCCTGCAAGAAACAAGTGACCTTGAAGAAACCGGCCTCCTCTAGACAACAGGGACAGACAGAGCAGATCTATTGAAAAAGCAGACCTATTAGCTAAGATGACACCAAATGAAGCCTCCTAAGTGATCATTTTGACCATATATTGGTCAAGATCTGCTGCATATACACTGGAGACCCAGGAAGACCTTGGGCACTTTATCACTGCTGTCACCAACCTGGCAGGTTTCTTGTGATTATAGCAGGTGAATTCACAGGGATGCCTGAAAGGACCACATTTAAATGTGCAAAGCATCCATTAATCATGAATAATTAATAATTAACAATTATTATTTAAAATACCGTGGCAGGGAAAAAAATCCCGATGTGGATATTTTGGATCTGTAAATGCCATGTTTTTAATTAAAAGAGGGAGAACATAATCATCTGTCAACTGTTTCTAACGAGCAGTGTTCTTGGTGTTGGCTGCTGGAGGGGCTGTACAGCGGGAGGCAAGGGCTTTTTGCTATGGAAAATCCTGTGGAAAAGACAAAGATGTGGAATTTCCTGCATCCCGCAGCCGAGAGCGGCCTCGGACACAATGATCTCCCCCGGCACAGATAACACTCTCTGCCCAGGCCCTTCGTGGGCTGCTCACTAGTATATTTAAAAGCTTAATTAATTGGTTAGTATTTATCACGCAGCCACCCTGCAGGATTAGTCCTGCTCCACAGCAAAAGGGCAAATTTTTACCCAAATCAGCAGCCCCTCTCCTTCACTGCTGGGCTCTCTGTGATGTCCCCAAGCAGATATTTTGCAGGCTTTCAAAGAGCCTCTTGCATCCTTTAGATGGGAGGCTAATAAAGTCACCCTTGAGCGTGCTTGACTCGCTCACCATCTCAGGCAACCAAAAGCTGCAGAACTTGTACCAAAACCTCTGCCAAAAGCTGCAGAACTTGCACCAAAACCTCTGCCTACCTGCACAGAGGTTATTGGGCAACTAATCAATAGGCTGCTGCTTCTCAGACACTTACAGAAACCTGCTTAAGCAGAGCAATTAGTAAAATGTGGGTTTCTTGCATAAGCAGGGATTGAGAAGCAGCTGCAGGCTGGGGCTCTTTGGCACAAAATAGCTTGTAAAAGGAAGGTCACCAATCCAAAATGCTTGTTTTGCAGGTGAACGGCACCATCCTATCCTGAAAGGTAATAGAGGTCTTTTGTACAAAGAATTCCCACCTGAAATCCTAGAAATCATCTAAGTAGACTGCATTAGCTACACATCATAAATATTGATGCTGTTGCTAAGGGGAAGGAGGGTTGGGTTCAATGTTAATGGGCTGGTGTAGGTACGCTGAAAACACACTCGGGAGTAAAAGGGACAAAATATTTTTGTCAGCGAGATAGCTGAGTGTCTCACGTGGCTTTAGGAGAGGACACACGCGGCTGGCCCTGGGCTTGTGCAGCCCTGATGGGCTCTGAGTTCCCGTACTCCTTCCTTGGGAATCTCGGTTAACCAAAGTTTACGCCAAATGTTTCAACCAAAGATTAAATTAATTAAATGAAAATAAAGATTAAAGATCAAATCAACAAGTTTAGGCCCCGGGCCCATCTCTGGATGGTTTTGGACCGGACCTGAGGCTCAGCGCTGGCGTGGGCCACGTGTCTGTCCCTTGCAGGGTGTCTGCTCCGGTACATTTTCTGCTGTACCTGAGGTGGCTGCAGAGCAACGTGGATGCCCAGGGGCTCCTCAAGACCCAGCTACCATCCCAGACCCCCTTCTAACTAAAAAGGCTAATTAAAAAGGAAGCTTTTTCAGAGACTCCATGCAGAACAAGAAGAGCACTGAACATTGGAGCAACGCAACCTTCCAAAGCCCCCGTGGTGGCCTGTGCTCTCCGGGTGGATCGCAGTGGCCGCAGCAGAGCCAACCTTTCCCCCTGCCTTGTTCAGAGAGGCACTTTCCCACCTCGCTGAATTAGCGGCCCCTCTTTGCTGCAGCACTTGAGAACCTGAAGAGCCCTTAATGCATCAGGTATGGAAGAAGACAATGCTGACAATCAGCCGCTGGAATTCCTCTCCCTCCTTCCCCCTCGTATTTTTCCGCTCCCTGCCTTTAATGACTAATGCAATCCCTGATGGTTTCCAAATTTCAAGTGCACAAGGTGCAGGCTCCTATGACTGCTTATTATTCAGCACAGAACAAGACCTAGACAGCAAATTGCTTTGTTGATCCTGTGAAGAGCATCGATCCTTGCGAGCTTAGCGCATCTGACATGTTTATTGCTCGCGGGGACGACGTGCCCGTGGGTCTGCGTGGGGACAGCGGGCTGGCTCCGTGCCTCTGCTCTGGCCATTGCTCCTACAGCTCTGGTATTACCCAGAGAACACTTAAAAGTGGGATTATTGGAGCGGATTTCAAGGCTAGAGGACACGGTCCTGACAGTCTGATCCTTGCACCTCTATTAACTCTTGGATCCAGGCGTGGACGGCCGAGTGATAGGAGGGTGAATGTGAAGTGGCATCGAAACCAAGCGCCAGAGAGTTCTCCCGATAATCCTATGGAATAGAGGATTTCTTACATCAAGGAGTTAGTAGAGCTTCTGAGAAGAATTAAGTGCTAATCCTTGCCACTGTGTCACCACCTTCACCTGCACTTCTTGGGCTAGTTTATGGTGCTAAAGAGCTGCTCACCCTGGAACGAGGAGTCCTGGTTGCACCTCCAAAGAGCAAGGGATCTGCTCCCGGGGTGCGTGGGATGGAACTGGGTCCACATCCCGCCTGGGATCTCACTGGGATCTGGGCTCTGTCCAGCCCTGCTTTCCGAAGCGGAGCAGGAGCCGGAGCGGTCCTGCCATGGGGAACGTTCCTATCACACCGGATAGGGAATGGGGACCTTCGGGCTGGTGGGCATCCCCTTCTTTTGGGATTCCTGGCACCGCAGCACAATCCAAAGCTGGAAATGAGACGAGAAGCAAACGTAGCCTGAATCCCGGCTGGAGGAGAAGTGATTGCTAGTTAATGGTCCAGACAGCAGCGCTGAGATGAGGCTGTCCCAACCCGACAATTCCGGCCGTAAAAGCCACCGCTGGGAGCCTCTGCCACAAACTTTTAACCAAACCAAATTCTTTGCAGGGAATAACAGATCATAAAGGTGCAGGACACACACGGAGATCATTAGCAAAGCGGCACAGACGACAGCAAGAACCCAGGGCAACGCAGGAGCAGGGCAGGCAGCGGGAACATCCCAAGGGAATCACTCCCTGCACACGGAGCTGCAGCACGCTTGTATTAAGGCCATGTAAGTAACCAGCAGAACATGCAGCATTAAAGCAAATATCACTGATAAACCCCCAGCAGGAGCTTCAAGTACCTGCCATTTGCACGCATAAATCTCCCTGATTTCGGATGGGAATTAGTGGGCGAACTGTGTCCTTATTTCCTCGGTATGCAGTTGGTAAATCACACGCTTGCCCAGCCTGTCGCCTCTCCGGAGCAAGTGCAAGTGTCCAGGTTTGATTTTGACTTCGGCATCACTCCATGTCTCATCCCTGAAGGGCTCCTGGAAGTGCCACCGCTCCGAGGGGCTACTCCAGGTAATATTCCAAGGGCATTTTGGAGCATGGGTTCCTGCCTGAGGCACTTGGGTGCTGTGGAGCAGCCGTCACCTTCTGGAGGCCGATGCCCGTCTCTGTCAGGGGGAAATTTAAAGGATTAAAGCTGGGATTAAAGGCTCTAACACAAGCCACTTCTTGCAGCTTGGTTGACCGGGGCTGCAGTTTAGGTGCCCTGCACGAGCCCTGCATTAAAAACACATGTCCCGGGGGGGAACTTTGACCAACCTGGGTAATACTAATAAAAGGCAGTGCAGAAAATAGTGCATATATGTACTATTAGACATACCTGCGTTATAAATGTGGGCTATGATTAAACCGCGCAGCTTTACCCCCGGGCAGAATCCAACCCAGCTGCCAAAGCTTCTGCTAAGGAGCCTGGATCATCCCTTGGGGTTTCAACGCCGGGATCAGGATGCTAACGTGCACCGCAGTGCTCCGCTGCCCGAGCATCCTGCGGCAGAGAATTCATTGATTATTAAGCTGGAAGGGACAACAGTCATAAATTCATTTAATCTTGTTTATAGCATTCACCTGCCAG